TCTTTCACGTACTCTCTTATCCTTAGACCTCCCCCTTTTAGACTTAGTCCTTATAGTCTATATATACCTCTAGGTTATACCTAAGTAGCGCTTAAAATAAGAATATTTTAGTTATTACGTTTCTTATATTATTTATAGTAAATTTTACTAAATTAAGTAAAGATAGCTAGTAGCCTTTTTAGACTACTATAAAGCACTTCAGGTAGTGTTTTACTACCTTATTTACTACTTTTATTTAACTAGTAGTTTATAAATAAAAAGCTATTAAAAGCCTTTAGTTTATCTTTAAGTAGTAATATAGTAAAGACTAAAATTTACTTATAAATACTAAACCTTTATTAGTTATAATTGTTTTAGGAGCCTTAAACTTAAGCTTTACCTTTTAGTAGATAATTTCTACTAATTTTACTATAGTAATATATATACTTATTATAGTATATAGGTAGAACTTAGTAAATTAGTTTACTATTACTAAGATTATATTTACTTTACGCCTTATATACTATATAAAAAAAAGTCTTATAATAAAATCTATAAAGATTTCCTTAAATAGTTATAAAGGTATTAATAAGGATTATAACTTACTATAGGGTTTATATAGCTAAGCCTTTATTCCTAAGTATATACTATACCTCTTAATATAGTTACTAACCTCCCTAGTAAGGCCTAGCTACTAGAACTTCTATTTAATTAGGTCTAAGGTTCTATCCCTTCTAAAGTGTCCTACTAGTAGATTATTATAGTATAAAGAAATTATCTCTTAGTAAACGCTAGCTTCTTAAAAAACTACTACCTTATTCTTATAACAGACTAAGTCCTAGTGTCTAATTAACTAGTTCTTATTTATAGTCTGCCTTTCTAGCTACTCTTAGACCTATTTTATTTTAGTGTTAGTTACTTATAGCTACTATATTATCTTTAATAGCTTATTAGATAAAGTTTTATTATAAACCTATTTCTTTACTATAGCTAGTTTAGCTTGTTTATATATAGTAACTTAAATATAGGTTACCTTTTAGACTTTTATTTAAAAAAAGGTATTCTTTAATAAAGGAATCTTAAATTTAATAGTACTAATAAGGTCTATATTTAGTTACCTCTCTATATAATAGTCTAGTTATCTTAATAGCCTATTAGTAAGGTTATTTTTCTTTTATTAATAGTTAATAGTAAAGTTAAAAAGTGCTAAGTATATATACTACCTTACTTACTTATTATTTAACTTAGATTATAATATAAACTATTTTAAGTTCTAATAATTAGTTAGGACTTTTATTAGTATTATTAACCTATTTATATAGTGTTACTAGGTTTTAAATAACTTTATAATTACTAGTATCTCCTAATCTAGTGTACTATAGTTTAGTTCTACTTCCTAAAGTTTCTAAGACTAAAAAGCTACTAAATACTAAAGGCCTTTATTACTAAGCTATAATAAGATCCCTATAGCTATATATTATAACGTATTTATCTTAATCTAGGTTAGCTTCTTAAGGTTAAAATAATAAAGTAATAAGGCTAATTAGAAAGTAAAATATAGACTTCTAAATACTATATATTTATTTTTTCTAAAGGCTAGATTTCTTATTTTCTTTTTATTTTTACTTCTTTTTAGTAAATCTATAAAGGGCTTAGCTATTTAAAAGTAACCCTTAATAAACCTTCTATAAAAGTTATAAAATCTTAAGAACACCTAGATATCTTAGAACGTCTAGGGTTCTAGCTAGGTAGTAATTACCTTTACTTATTAAAGGTTTATTAAGACCTCCTTATTTAATAAGTAAAACCTTAAGAACTTTACTTCTAATTTATAGAATTTATATTTCTTAAGGTTAGCATATAGCCTTACTATTTATAGGCGTTTAAGTACCTATAGTTAGTGTTCTATATAGAACTCCTTATTTTTAAAGAAGATTAAGATATTATCTAGAAAATAAATATAGATATTATTTACTAGCCCCTCTAGGGTAAGATTTATATAACTCTAGAACGTTATAAAGGCGTTTATTAGGCTAAAAAGTAAGACTAAGTATTTATATAGCCTATATTAGGTTTAAAAGGCTATTTTCTATTTATCTCCTTTTATAATTTAAATCTAATAGTATACGTCCTTAATATTAATCTTTAAGAAATACCTAGACCTTATAATATAGTTAAAGATCTTTAAAATTAGGGGTAAAAGATAATAATTCTTAACTATAACTTTATTAAGACCTTAGTAATTAATATATAATTATAAAGATTTTTTTTTTTAAAATAAATAAAACTAGCGCCCTTACTAGGCTCTATAATAGCTAGATTCTACTTAACCTTACGTTCTTATTAATATAGTCCTAAAGGGTTTATAGCTCTCTTAGTAATAAGGGGTAAATTAGCCCCTAAGGAGGTATAGTTTTTTCTATAAGGTTAATTTTATAATTAATATCTTAGTGTTATAGTAGTATTTATATATTTAAAGGCTTTAGTATATCTTTTATTAATAATAATTCTAGTAAGATATCTATAGGTTTCTTTAGGTCTTCTAGCTCCTCTTTATCTAGTAAAAGAATTAACTTTAGAACTACTACTACTATAAATATCTTTAATATAAATTAGGCTTTCTTAGTAAATTAGTAACTTTTTAAGACCTCTTAGGTCTTCTAAGTAGTAATTTTAAACTACTACGTCCTATTTTTCCCTCTTAAAAATATATTTAGGTCCTAAATAGTAGTTATTAATAATAAAACTAGGCTACTTTTTTCCTAAAGGTTTTAGTCTATTACTATATAGGTCCTTATAAATATTTAACTAGTGCTATAGTTATAAGTTATAATTATTAGCACTTTATACACCTTATAGGTTAGTATTTCTATCCTGCCTATAGGTTCTAGAAGTAAAGCTGTCTGCTTAGCTTACTTTAGTAGGTGTTTCTTAATAAATTTATAAAATATTAAGTTACACTTTATACTAAAGTTAAGGTTAGTAAATATTTCTACTATATATCTTCTGCTTTTTACTTATATTTTAGTATAAAAATAGAGTGTTATCTTTACTTTAGAGAGGAGTAAAGACATAAGGTCTACTTTACTTCTTTACCTTTTCTCTTTTTCCCCCCTACTATAAGTAAAACTATAGCTACCTAGGCTTTAGTCTTACTATTAGTAAAAAAGTTCTTTAGTTTCCTTAGTTTTAAGTAGTTTAAGAAGATATACCTTTTTTAGTTATAATTATAATAAGTAATATCTTACTTATCTTAATTAAACTTAAATTACTTTAAAGTTAAACTAGTGTCTATTAAATTTATATTATATTAGTGTTTTAGTACTATTTTTTTTCTATTTCTCTTACTAAAAGTACTAGATTTATCCTTATAAAGCGTTCCTTAAACTTATTAGGCTATATTTACTATTTTTACTTAGGTCTTTAGTAACTTAAGTATATTTTATCTAATTACCTCTTAAAGACTACTAGTAAGTTAATAAAAATATTTAGAACTATACTTTTTTTTTAGCTTTATTATAAATTCTTTTTTTAAGAAATTAAAATAAGTATAGAATTACTTTAGGTCTTAATCCTCTTTTTATTAAGCTAATATAATTAATTTTATAATATTTAGTTCTTAATAAACTATATCTTATAATAGCGTTTTAGTCTACTTTAGAAAATAATTATAGTCTTTTACTAAAGGTTATTTCTTATTTATAAGTAAGTTAAGATAGTAATCCTAATAAACCTTATACTTATTATTTATATAAGCCTAGGCTAATAAAATATATTTATATAGCTTCTAGAACTTCTTAAGTATAGCCTAAATAGCTACCTTTAAGTTATTAACCTACGCCTTCTAGGCGTATAGGCTTAAATATAAGTAGAGCTTTTAGATTTCCTTATAGTTAAAGTCTTAGTTAGAACTTAACTAGGACTTACTAAAGCTTTATTAATAACACTATTTTTTTCCCCTACTAGCTTATTCTTAGTTTATATGTTTTAGTTTTATAATCCTTTACTTTAAGGCCTTATATTAGGCTTAGTCTAATTATAGTAATATATCTACTGCTTATCCTTTAGGAATTAGTATTTATTCCCCTTTTTATTTAGCTATAGTAGTACTTCTTAACCTATAAAAGAGAAGATTTAGAATTATAATAAACTATTAAAATTATAAAGAAGTATTAGTAATTATAGGTCTTATATTATATAGAAGCTAAATCTTAAAGAACTATTCTCTTGTAATTTATAAGGCTATTACTAGCTAAATATACCTTACTCCCTAAAACACTATACTAACCTTAAGATAGTTAGGTAGCTGTTGCCACCTAGTCTTAGGCGGCGCCCTTTAGTTAAGCGGTTATTGTCCTATAACAGCTCTTTAGAAAAGTTAAAAAGGCTTCTAGTAGTAGTCTATTTTATTAGTTACTACTTATTATTAAGTAAAGCTTTTATAGCCTAAGTTTAATAATAGTATAATAAAAAAAGAAGGCTATTTATCTAGATTTAAATATTAAATTTATAATAATTAGAGATATATAGAAACCGTAAATTAAGGTTAGTAAGGCTAAAAGTAATATAGCTAAATCTAGTGTATTAGAATTACCTAGTAAGGCTAAAAGGTGTATTATTATAGCTTTAAGAGGTAGTTAATAGTTATTTAAATAAAGTGGTGTTGGTTGTATTGGCTTTGATTTTAGGTGGGCGGAATGCAGGGGTGGGCGGAAAGTGGGTAGTTTAACTTATCGGCTCACAGAGAAACACACAAGTGGCCTCACACGACCCATATCAATAAACTTGACATCAGGATGGTCTTGGCGAGAAGAAAGCATTCTCATGCCTAACAATCCAAAGAGCAACATGAAAGGTTCCTAATAGCAGCCTTTTGTTCATGTCTTCCCCATCAAGTCTGCTGCTGCACCTTCTATAACATGAGACACATTAATCCAAACCCCTTATATTGCGGCGGTTCACCTTCTTAGCGTTTGGAGCGCTCACGGACAGCCTCCCCGGCACGGAATGTGCAAAGAGCGTCACCACAAGTCCGCCGGCGGCTCCGACACCCCAGGGTAAGGCCAGATCTCTTTGTACCGTTCCACGGTTCCCGGCGGGCTCCCCGGCGGCACCACGATGGCGTAGCGGACGCCACGCTCAGGGGTGTCGGCCCAGCGCCGGAGGTCGTCAAAGTTACGGCACCACATCTGCTGGCCGTCGCCGAGGTGTCTTTCCGTCCCCGTGATGAGAGTGATGGGGGCGGCGTCCGCCATGCACTGGACCAGCTGCCGCAGGGTGTTTATGCAGTGCATAACATGACCTGGTGTCCACTGTGACGGCTCGCCATGGAGGCGGAGGCCGTAGTCCTCAACCATGACCATCTTGCGGAGGAGAAAGGTCAGTCGGTCTGTCTGTTGTATAAAACGGCAGATCCCTGGGGCAAGAAGCTTACGATGCAGTGTATCTGATGAAAAGACCGTACGCCATACAATTGGGTCCCAGCAGGGCCATGGTAGGAAGGTAGCGTAGCCTCCTTGCCGTCCAAGTCGCGGTATCTGGCTGTTCCGTCGAGCGCGCGGATATTCGTCGCTAATATACGGGGATCAGCGCATCGGCGAATGAACGACCCACCGATATGTACGCACATAAATGTCATACTTACAGTTTTGCAGCCACTTGAGACGACGGGCGACGCGCCGGACCGCATTTAGGTCTTCGAACGTGTCTTCGTCAATCCAATAAGGGTCCCGCGAGTCGTTGTAGAATGTCCGCCACGAAGCCGGCTCGCCTACATCTGAGCTCAAAGTCAATCGCGTGCTCATATTTCATGTAAGAGACAGTCAACATGATCCTTACTCGGGGGGATGAAGCCCCATTGGTCGGCCCCAAACGGAACCGCAGGCTTCGAGTATTTCTGATAGGAATGCAAACCGAGGCCGAGGGCGCTGACAGCGAGGGCACAGAACAGTATAATGCAGACAATTATACGTGTTATCAGAACCTGTGTTTCCTTGTGGCAATCGCATACGCATTTCCCGCCAGCATCGTTCCAGTCGGCATCGTGGTTCGTTGAGGGGAGGGCGCAATATCGGTCTTTGGTTGCGAGAGCCATCGTGTTAATGTTACGGCATGCAAAGTGATTCAAATCAACTGAGCTCAGAGCTTTCTCTTATAATTTATCTCGGTTTCAGAGATGAGTTAGAGTCCGCAGATGGGAGTGTGTGCTAGGGCTAACAACTCTATCGGACAGAAGACTTCATGGTTGGGGAGACAAAGTATAACCCCGCTGCGTCATACACTGGTGCCTGGGGGGTCTCTGATGCTATGTTAATCCTTATAACATAGACTTGCGCAGCGACCTTGGAAGAATCTTAGCTTGTTCATGGCGTATTGCTTTCAAGCACATCAATATGTCGAATCCGAGCCTCATCTTCGCTTCGGTGCCTTCCGACCGCCTCCCGGTGCCAGGTAAAGACCTCTTGGTCGAAGGTCGCTCTTTGCCTGCCGGCGAGGGCGTGCTGGTCCGCATTGAACTGGCTTCTCTCGATCCCTATCTGCTCTCGCAGCTGAGGGACCCATCCTCGGCTTGGACCTACCAACCCACGCTGCCCGTCGGTGAGCCTTTGAGCACAAGCGCAGTTGGCACCGTAGAGCGATCCGACGCCCCCGGCCTCCCCGCCGGCGAGATGGTATGGCTCGCCATGACCCCGTTGGCGCGGTATGCTTTTCTCACCGTGTCGGTGGCAGCCAACCGGCGTCTTGTTGTGCCAATCGGGCAACTTGTACGGGATCTCGGCATCGACGTGGGTCACTGGCTAGGAGTTCTAGGTGTTGTATGTACAGTCACGCACTCTTGATGATATGGGGAAACCCCCGGGGAGTTATTAACAGCACGACCAAGCCCCCCTTCCACCCCTTTCTCTCCGCCTGCGCTTGATATCTTTTGTGTGTGCATTGAGCTGCTTGTTTTCCTCACCTCTTATGGCACAATATACATCACGGGGGGCTCCTGGTCTGATAGAGAACGGCCTGCTGACGGTTCTCAAGCCCGGGCTTACAGGCTTTGCCGGTCTCTACGAGTGCGGTAAGCCCAGGGCCGGCGAGACCATCTTCATTAGCTCGGCGGCCGGCACGGTCGGTCTAACGGTAGCCTACTTCAGTAAAAGGGACGGACTGCGCGTCGTGGGGTCGGCTGGAACCACCGAAAAGGTCGATTTGCTCTGGCGTACTGGCCTTTTCGACGAGGCCTTCGTTGTTGGCCGCCGGGATAGCCACGAGACCGTGGAGGCATCACTACGCCGGACGGCGCCGGAGGGGGTCGACATATACTTTGCTAGTGTTGGCGGAAGCCAGATGCGCGCGGCGGCGACCTGTATGAAGGTCCATGGGCGGATTGTCGTATGTGACGCCGTCGACGAGTATGGCGGCGTAAGCAGCACGGAAAGCACGGAAAAGTCGAGTAACAGTTGGCCGCATGCTCCGTGGCTCTGGCAGCCCGTCGCCTACAGGAGGCTGACGATCCGCGGGTTCATCATCACCGACTTGGTTACTAAGTACATGGCAAGCTTCCAGGAGCAGATGTATGAGGGCATCAAGAAGGACGGAGGACTGCCCAGAATCGCTCCACTATACGTAGTTCGCGGTCTGGAAAAGGCGGCCGAGGCGTTTGAGAACCTCTTCCGCAGCGGAAAGGTGATGGGCAAGCTCCTGGTCCAACCATGTGACCCTTGACCGTTTCTCGCGACTTTGTAGTAGGCTTTACTGTTCAGAAACATCTAACTACAGGGCTTTTTGCTATTTTCTTTCTAGCTGTGTATCTCGCCCATTGAAATCGACGTTCTTGTTCGTATTGTTATGATGCTTGGCCCGCATACTGGGAGCCTGAGTACACAGTTTTACAACATGTTCCATTTTTCCGTCATGTCACAAAGGCTTTGCGCAATATAGGCTGTTGTACACGTCACCGGGTGCAATGAATGCGACCGTTGCACTGATGCTCATGGCCAGCATGAACCCCAAGATAAAAAAGCCCAGTTTAGAGGCGACGGAGGTGTTTGTGTACAGCCGGATGGAATGCGACGTGTCGGAGACTTCTTCTTGACCTTCTTCGTCGTCGCCTAGCCTTCTGTACTCCGGCGAATCGCTGTTCGGCGTCTCCTCCTACTCAGCCGCCCGTTGTTAATAGAATTCTGGTTGTCTAAATTGAACGAGGGGACGGGCATACAAGAAGTGACCCCCGTACGAACGGTAACGTCATTCTCTCTGAAATGTGGAGGCGTGGTCTTGTTAAACAGGTTCTCCAGAATGGGTCATGGAGTCGATAATACAATTGTTCGTCCTTTACAATACAAAGGTGCAGCGTAGGATATCTCGGACGACCCAACATGTGAGTGGGGGGTGAATGTGACATCGTCCACGCTTACTTCCTGGCAAAGGTTTTTGGCCAAGTAACAGGTCCGTGATAGAGTTCTAATAATGACTTCTGGCGCGTAAGTCGGGAGATTAAACTCGAGAGGAAACTTTTGCGCACATGCGGGGTTGGACGCTGGCTCGAAAGTGACCAATCCATCAACAGCGGGATTCAAGCCTAGGAATAAGAAAGGTGATACCGGAGGGGATTGTAAAGAGCACAGCTGGCAGCTCTATGCAACCCATTAATGATCGATCTCGTCAAATCCCTCGTATCCGGTCTATTTACCTTCTTACTCTCCTGTAAATCACCCGCCGTACACTGTTAGAATGAAGTCCTTCGAGCCTCTAGACTTGGCAGTGGAAGTGCCCCTCGTAGAGATGGATAAGACCACATCTTCAAGTACGTTAGACGATGGATCAGAAAGATCCACGGTATCAGCTTGTCCAGGGGCTGCCGACGAGCATCCCCGCGTCAGCATCTGGCGCATTGTGTGCTACGCTGTACCCTCCTTGCCGTTAGTAACATTGACGGCAAGCCCGCCGACTATCGCTCAGAGCTGACCATGTTGCTAGCATCCAGAGCTTCTTCACCATGTTTACGGTGTACCTTATTGTAAGTTGAATGTGACAACCTCTCCCCATTTCATCACTCGAGATAATGCACAGTCCTGGTGTAATTACCTGGCCAAGTACACATACACCAAGCTGACGTTCTGCCCCCAGCCTTACCTCATAGGGGAGCTCGGCTTCACTGCCTTCCAAGTTGCCTTGGTACTACTCGCCGGCCCCCTGTCGGGCCTGACGGCGTCGCCGGTTTTCGGGGTCTTGAGTGACCGCTCCGGCAGACGCTTCGTCTTCTACAAATTCGGATCCGCCACCATGACCGTCTGTCAGTTGGCGCTCGGGTGGTCCCGCGAGATTGTCGGCGGCAACATGGTAGCGGCTAGATGGCTTAGCACCGTGACCATCTACTTGGGATGCGTCGGCGTGCGCGCCTGCATCATCAGTCACCGCGCCTTGACCATTGCCAACATCCCGCCACAGCAGCAGCCCGTCTACACCCTCGCAAGTGGGCTCATGCTTGCGTCGGGCGCCATCATTACACTGGTCGCCGGCCTTATAGATCCGGACTTTCGCCTTATCTCCACAATATGTGCAACTGGCATATTCCTCAGTATCCTTCCTTTGTGGGCAGTTCAGTCCGATGCGTATCACAGCCCAGTTATTGTCCATAGGGAGAGCAGCAACGTCATCGCGTCTGTCTTGTCTGTACCGCGGGCCATGTGGCACGCTAGCAAATGTCTTCCTCCGACGATCCGTCGTACATGCAAAGTGCAAATCCTCTCTCAATATGCGTGGTTTCCCGTCTCGCACTATCTAAGTAAATATCTTGCTGACAGCTGTATGAGTCCACCCGTCTTCCTCTCCTTTATATTATCCACTGAACCTCCTAAACTCAACCTATCATATAGGCATTCCATGCCCATACTAACTAATAGAAAGTAGATTCGGCTACTCATGGACCAGCCTCCGAGGCCGCTCCTCCGGATGTCATCTCGCGAGCGGGTGTTCGCGTCTTTCTGATCGCCCAGCTCGGTGCTTTAATGCTACAGACGTCCATCGTCCGTTCATGGGACACGTCCGTAGCGTCGGCGGGCCGGCTCCGCCAGTTCATGAAAGAGGATGTGATGGTGCTGCGGCGGGTATGGGCCCTGTCATTTGCGACGCTGGGTATCTCGACGGCGGGTGCTATTGTGTTCCGGGCCTCGTTCATGGCAGCGTCTGTCTGCGCCGCCAGCATCATGACTCTGTCACCCCTGAGCGGCTGGGTGCCTTTCGCTATCATCGCGTACGAAGCTTCTGTAGTCCAAAGAGAACAGGGTAGCGCAGCGTTGCAGGCAATTCCAGGCACAATCTCTTCTATTCACGAGATAGCTATTACATCAGGCCAGGGCGTATCAGTTGCAGTCAACGCCATTATTAGTTTTGGGCTTGATCACTTCCAAGCAGGTGGCGAGAACTCAACAGCGTTCCTTTTTCCTCCTGCTGTTGCTGCTGCGCTTGTCGGCGTTCTCATCTGCTGAGCGGTGGATACATCCATGACTTGCTTGATTGAGGGCAGGGATATGTCTAAAATGATTATGCCTAGATAGGTAATCAGGACGAATGAGGGAGCAAAAAAAGAGGATTCAGACAGCATCTCAGATCATGGACTTTGAAAGTTCTTATTTGCAACCACATAGTATGCTGGCAATCCTTGTACATACACATATGTGCCATTGAGCATACCACCGCACCATGTGGGATATCCGCGAACATGAAAATTCCAATACCATGGCTGTCTCAACATCACCCGGCTTCCTCCTCACCAGGATACGCAACTTAGCCCCTCTTCGTCGCACGGGTATTTCGGCTTAACCTGTTGTTTCTTAGCTTACATATCCTCAATTGCATAGCCCCAGCCTAGGCTTGGGCACCATGTAGGGGTATGCACTGACAATTTGCCAGTCAGGAGGGTATGGGACCGCGTGGACGGTCAGCTTGTCCATGTCTGGCACCGGGCTCTCAAGAATGATATTGGTGAGGTATGAGGTGCAGTGGATGGTATGGCTATAATTGAAGGGCGGGTCGAAGCCTTTGGCCAGCCACAGGTGCGTCTGCCGGAGCGTATACATGCAATGCACGACATGCTCACGCTTTGACAGCCACAATGTAGTCAGGACTCTGTTATCAGGATCGACCTCGACCGTGCCCTCGGCGTCGTAGAACCGGTGCCATGGCCCGGCTTCGAGAAACCCGCGGATCAGTTCCTGATTATCCGGGTCTTGGACTCGCTCGCGTGGATACCAGTGGAAACTGATCGGATCCCAGTCGCACCCGCGCTGCGTGGCCACCTCGACACTTGCGCCGTTGGGAGCGCAGAGATATCCCGACAGATCGATCCGAGGACGTCCAATGCTGCTCGCATAGCACTGCAGAACGGCAGCGTGTAACGTGCTGTAGAGCACTGTCATCCCCAGAACGAAGAGGATCAGCAAGAGACAAGTGCATGTCTTATTCAGGACGAACCGCGCCGGCCGTTTGCGAGGGGCCGTTTCGGTTTCTGTCTCTGATCCCAAATCCGCGTATGAGACGCCACCGTCGAGGGCTTCCCGTTGCCAGGGCATCATGTTGACTGGTCTATGCAAGTTTGTGACTGCTACATGTGTGACTCTTGGTAATAGTTCCAATCCTTTACAGTTGCACGTACGGTTCAAAATCCAGGGATTCTCCAGTGCTTCTCCTTGTCAGCTCGCGGCACGGGATACAAGGAGACGCTGGCAAGACAAATCATCCGAAAAGGCTATATCAAGTTTCAGGAATTAGGTTGAGGCGGAGGATGGCTCAGACAGATGTGGAGCCGGCCGGAAAGCTTCAATCTTGCTCACCAAGCTGCGCCAGGACAGAATTGTCCTTTGGAAGGGGGGTCTCGTTGTTGAGTCTCGTTGATGGGACTCTTGGACTGGATTCGCGGGTGCAGGAAGAGCCCCATACTTTTCTAGAAATGGCAAGGTTCGAGTGATAAAGCTGCTCGAGGGCCGCGCTGATTATGAGGCAAGATTCAGTGAGACCTGATACGGCATGAACTGTCAAGATATCAAGCGTGGGGAGGCTGTCTGACGAGCATGATCTCCTCTCGCACTATCTCATAGGCACTCACAAGAGCCAGTCGGTTGCAATCCAGATTCAGACCATGAGTTCCTCGTTGGAGCAAGACCGGTGGGAAAACTTTGGTTATAGGGCACTTTCAACATCATCGTCTTGCGAAGTGGCCGACCTTCCATGGGTCGGCTACCAACGTAAGCTTTGTACGCCAGATGACGGGTTACGTTCCAAGCGCAGGCACGTCTGGTTAATCGCGCTGCTGAGTATTTACTCTCTGATCATGACAGTCTTCGTCATGGTCGTCGCAGAGGCGTGCAAAGTCAACCTTTCCCCGTCGCTCGGGGGCGATCCGAACGGCTTCGTCCCAAGCGGGGTGGGAGAGCCGCTTCGCTGGAGGACGTTTGTACGCAACGACAGCAACCCTTACTACATTCCCGACGACGTGTTCGAGGACAAGGCCAAGACAAGAAAAGTTGTTAATAGTCTTGTGACAATTCACTGTAAGTACTGACTGACAGCCTTGCTTCCCAGCGTGCCGCAATCGCAGACGACCCTGATTGACAGATCAACAGCGTCGATAGTGCGCATCAACGGCCGTCACGGCCGCTGGGTCCATGACAACGGCCGCGTATCCACCTTGCCGGCAATCTACACCCCGCCCAGCATGGGCGAGGAGCAAGTCTACGTGTTGCGGGGTTTATATCAGATGCGCTGCATAGTAAGTCTGCTCGGAGCTTGCAATAACTTGCCTGTGTCTGTCTTCCTCACCGGACGACAGATTGTGTTACTAGAAGCCTACGGGCACAGCATCCAAAAGCGACCTCATCACGGAGAGGACGACGACGGTCAAGACGTCTGGCACTGGCCCCCCGAGCACGTGGCGTACTGCCTCAACGTTCTGGCGGACGGGGTACAGTGCATGGCCGACGCAACCCCGCTTTCTTTCGTCAATGGCTTCGGCTCCGGCCATCTGACGGACGGACAACAGGCATGGTGCCGGGACTGGGAGGGTCTGAGCGGGTGGGCGGCGAGAGAGGAGCGCCGCGTGGCCACGGCCCAGGGAGGTGCTGCGCTCAAAGGGCCCTTTGGTCGGCTTTGGCGGACAATATTGCCCTGAATTACCAAATAGACGGTTTTTGTGTAGTACGCTAATATGAAGTAGCTCTATCAGACCGAGCGACAATACAACTTGTTCGACTCTGGATCCGCTGTCATGTATAAGCTGTGATGGCGCATCGGCAACTACAGGCCAGCGTGTGTCATCATAGTCATAAGCCTGCTCTATTCCAAACCTCTGCATCCTTCATCAATAGCACACACATGCAGGTTCAATTACACGGGCCTATAATTCCAGGGTATCTAGATATCAACACGGCAATGGGAAGCTTCTGCTAGCCGCCTTTCTCTCAGCGATATGCATTAGGAGGTTTGAAGAGTCTGTTACTACAGACGCCCATCTGCGCTGTGAAACAAGAATGTATATATGCGTCATAGAGTATGGACTGTGACTGCTACACCGGCGCATTGATTACCGTGCCACGCCTCAAAGAGCTGTCGTAGAGTAAGAATCGCGCTGAACAGCCTTTATGGCGGGCGTACGGAGTATGCGGAGCATTGAGTGGGTGTAAAGAAGCATGGAACATAACCTTTCCAAACATAACCTTCCCAAACATAACCTTCCCAAGCATAACCTCGGGCAGAAGGCAATATCAACGCGTAATAGATTTACTTTCCAGAAGCCCGGCGGCTACAAGCTAAGGAGATACGGCGAGGAGTTGATGCTCTGTCTATTCAATGCGTACGCGTATACCTACGCCCTTGGGCCAGCCAGCCGGGCCCATGGTATAATCACCAGCCGCCGAAGGGCACGTGGCAGAGATCAAAGAATTAGTTCGACATACTGGTATGCCGTAAACCAGGGTGATGTTATACAGTATATAAGTTATGCCGAGGAGAGAAATATTGATTGACTGTTGACGTTTTATGTTGACCGTTAGGGGATAAGCCTCGTCTGACAAAGAAAGAAAGAAAATCCTGTGCATGCCACTCTCATCGCCTGAATACATGCCCATTCATAATGACACGTTTCGCTCCTCTAGAGCCCATCGCCGTCTGTGGCATGGCCGCCCGACTGCCTGGTGACGTACAGACACCGGCCGAGTTCTGGGACATGCTCATCTCCAAGCGCAACGGACTTGTCGATTGGCCTCGTACGAGCCGTACGGGGGGCAGCGCCGATGAAAAGTCTCCTCCTCCCGCAGCCAGTGGACGATTCGACGCCGCCGGCTTCCAAAGCCGGCTTCCCGCTAAGAACACGCTCCAGGCGCCGCAGGCTTACCTTCTGAATCATGTGTCGCTAAGCGATTTTGACACTAGCTTCTTTCCCGTTGGCGCCAAGGAGGCATCGCGAATGGATCCGATGCAACGCCAGCTCCTCGAGGTTGCCTACGAGTGCGCCGAGAACGCCGGTGCCGGGGGGCTGGCTCACGACAGCGCCACCCGCAAAGATGTTGGCGTCTTCGTCGGCGTCTTCGGCGAGGACTGGCTGCAGGAGAATGTCATGGACAGCCAGCTGGCTGGCCTGTACCGCGGGACGGGTTTCCTCGACTTTCTGCAGGCAAACCGCGTCAGCTTCGCTATGGGCTGGCAGGGGCCCAGCATCGTCGTAAAGACGGGTTGCTCAGCCAGTCTTGTGGCGCTCGACATGGCCTGCCACAGCCTGCGGGCCGGCGAGTGTTCTGCAGCCGTTGTCCTTGGCGTCAACCTTATAACCTGCCCGCTCATGACCCTTTTGTACACGGCGCAGGGCCTGCTTAGCCCCTCTGGCATCTGCAAGACCTTTGACGCAGCCGCCGACGGCTACGGGCGTGGCGAGGCTGTTAACGCCGTCTTCCTGCGGCGCATCTCGGACGCCAAGAGAACTGGCGACCCCATCAGGGCACTGGTGCGAGCAAGCGCCACAGGTCATGACGGCCGCAAGTCCGGACAGCTCAAGCCAGACACTATGGGGCAGGAGGTGTTGATACGCAAGGCGTACGCACTGGCAGGCATTCCCGATTCGCAGTTCGGAGAGACGGCGTGGATCGAGTGCCACGGCACAGGCACCGCCGTCGGCGATCCGATCGAGCTGCGGTCTGTTGCAAACATCTTTGGCCAACAGGGCATCATCGTCGGAAGCGTCAAGCCAAACGTCGGCCACTCGGAGGGCGCAGCCGGACTGACAGGCCTGATCAAAGCTGTTTTGTCCCTCGAGCACGGTATCATACCCCCCAACATCTTTTTCGATACGCCCAACCCTTTGAGTAAGTATTATCCCAGAACGCCGTGCACTAACATTTTTCCCAATTAACGACCGTCCTATGTGATAGTTCCCTGGGCGGATGCTCGACTCCAGGTTCCCGTTGACGCCCTGCCGTGGCCTACAGGCCGTAGGAAACGCGTGAGCGTCAACTCGTTCGGCGTAGGGGGCTCCAACGCCCATGTTATACTTGAGGCCGCTTCCACTGGGAGGCCAAAGTCGAATCCTCGTCCACCTGGTCAAGTAAAGTCCCATGTCCTATTATTCAGTGCCACCCACCAGTGGTCACTGCAGAAGCAGATTCTTCGTCACCGGGACTATCTCCTCCTCCGAATGTCGTCGGCGGCGCAGCATCATGATGTGAATAGTCTTCTTAGCGATATGGCGTATACACTGGGTTGCCGCCGTCGTCACTTTTCACTGCGGACGTACGCTATCGTTCGCGGTCATCAGGAGCCCACAGACAACCAAGACGGCTCCAAACTAAAACCGGCCGATGAGCTGCTTAGCTTCAATGAAGCTGGCCATTCCAGTCAACTCCAAGACAACACGCCGCCGCCTCGGGTCGCTTTCGTCTTCACGGGCCAAGGGGCTCAGTCGGCCCGTATGGGCTACGAGCTTCTCCGTGATAACAAGGTGTTTGCTGACAGCATCCATTACTTGGACCAGTGTTTGACTGCGCTCCCTGACAGCTTGTCGCCGGAATGGACACTCTTCGGTATGCCACTCCCAATGAATACGCACTGAGCCCAACACATTTCCACGACATCCATCATCATAACTGCTCACAGAATTCAGTTCCATGACCGTATATATGCTTACTCCCAGCATGTAGATGAACTTTCTCGAGCAGCCTCAGCCAGCCGCCTTCACGAAACGAAATACTCGCTACCTTGCTGCATCGCCATTCAGATCAGTTTGGTCAACGTATATCGTGCCTGGGGCGTCCTTCCCGTAGCTGTTGTCGGCCACTCCAGCGGCGAAGTTGCCTCAGCTTACGCTGCTGGTGTTCTATCTGCTCGTAAAGCAATCATCATCGCCTATCTTCGCGGCATGGTAATGTCCGAGGCCACGGTGCAACCAGGTGCCATGGCCGCCGTTGGTCTGGGTCCCGAGGAAACGGCAAGGTTCCTCGCTCCTGGCGCTGTTGTTGCCTGCGAGAACAGCCCGAGTAGCACGACCGTCTCTGGCGATACAGACTCGGTACAAGAGACCCTCCGGAAGGTTTCCGAGGCCGACCCGCAGATCAGGTGCCACAAGCTCAAAGTGGCGACGGCCTTCCACTCCCACCACGTCAGGGCTAGTGCTCTCAAGTACGAGGAGCTATTGCGGCCATTCCTGGACGTGGAAAGTAATGGCAGCTCCTCGTGTGCGCTGTATAGTAGCGTCACAGGGTCTTTTCACAAACACCCTTCATATCTGATGCAGAATGCGCATCACTGGAGAGACAGCCTCGAGAGGGTCGTGTAAGTTGCGAATCAGCTCACGCCTGGCACATCAATTTGTGTACTGACGGATGACGAGTTCAGACTTTTTCGGCAGGCTTTGGAAGCGCTTGTGCTTCGGGAGCATTCGCTCCAACCGGAGAATGACTTGCTGCTCATCGAGATTGGGCCTCACCCCGCCCTCAGAAGTGCCATTTCGCAGACGCTCGCAGCTCTAGACCTGCCGTCTTCGGGACCGAAGGTGCATTACATCCCTACCCTACGCCGCGGCGAGAGAGCCGACGAAGGCTTGCTGCATTCAATAGGGGAACTGTACGTGCGGGGAGTTCTCGCCGAAGTCAGCATGGAGGCCATATTTAAACAAGAGGGGGTTTCTTGTCTGATCGACCTACCTCCTTATGCGTGGCACCACGGCGTCAAGCACTTCGACCCGCCGCGTGTAGCTAGGGTCTACAAGAGCGCACAGCGTCTTCCTCACGAGCTGCTTGGCGCTCGTGTTCCAGACGCCACGGATGTTGAGCCGTGCTGGCGCTGCGTACTAGAGCCGGACGACCAGCCCTCGTGGCTAGGCCACCACATCGTCGACGGCAGGACTGTCTTCCCTGCCGCCGGGTTCATCGCCATGGCCGGCGAGGCCATCAGAAGACTCGGTTCTGGCTGTAATGTCGCCAGTGCTAAGGGTTACATCGTGCGTAATGTTGCCATCAAGACGGCGCTGGTTGTGCCTCCGGGGTCGACGGTTGAGCTTTTCACGCGGCTCTCGCACGCTGAAGACTACGTCGACGTCGATGCAGAAGCTCTCGGGCGTGAAAGGGTGTGGTACGAATTTCACATCATGGCTCTCGTGCCAGACCGAGACGGCGACCGATGGACCAGTCACTGCCGTGGCCTGGTGGCTAGTAATACCGCGTTCGCGTCCGATGAGGCAGCAGCTCGTACCTGGGCGTGGAGCGGCAACAACACACTCGACGACAGCTTTGTGCGCAGCGTCGACACATCTGATTGGTACTCTATTGCCGACTCGATCGGCTTGTCGTACGGTATCTCACTGCAGGGCCTCGACGACATTGTGGCGTCAACCACTCGTCTGGCGGCTTCGGCGACGGTATACGACGACGCCGTTGACGACGAAGCTGACTACGCGCTGCACCCGACAGTCTTGGACCTGGCGCTGCAGCTCAACCTAGTTGCAATGTGCCAGGGAGTCCGGGAGAAGTGTGATCTGCTTTTACTGCCCACGTACGTGGGGGAGCTTATCGTAGGGGAGGCAGAGCGGCCGCAACATGACGAAATCAACTCGGAAAGCAAGAAACTGAATCTACTGGCCGAGGTCCGTTGGGTCGATGTGGGCAAAAGCCTAGAGGGCACCGTCACCGTCGCCGACGGTAGTGGCATCCGTGACGGGGTGCATCGAGGACCAGCTCCGCACCGATTGACCATTGCGAACGTCAAGTTCATGGCCAAGCCGATGGCCCACCGCCGTGGCGTGCCTGAAGACGACCCGACAGCGTCACAGCTCCGCCTCGCGTCCGTCTTTGAATGGGCCCCAGACGCCGAGCTTATCGATCCTGATATTGTAGGCTCGGCCCTCGACATGATCCGGCTACTTTCATTCAAGAACCCGCGCATCCGCGTCTTGGTGGTTGGCTGCAACGGCGACGTGTCCCTGGCACGCGCCGTTGCGAATGCCCTCGAGAACCAGGTCATGTCTGACGGTGAGGTTGCGGCGACCCTGACATACGCGGCCGCCTCGCCGACGGAGCTCAGCCTAGCTAAGCAGGCTTTGGAAGAAAATGGTCGCGCAGGGCTAGCGGTGGGAACACTAGCATTCACGGACATATTACAAGGCTTGCCCGGGAATGCGCCTGAAGCAGAGAGGCCGTTTGATCTTGTCCTCGTAGACGGGGCCATAGCCTTAGCTGAAATGTATTCGGCCCTCATCCACGCCCGGCAGGTTTCCATCTTGTCTTCCGGTGGATATCTTCTGGCAGAACGGTGTGGCGAGAAGGCCCAAAGGAAGCTGCAAGATCTTGGTCTGACACTTGTGAACCGATACGACTCATCAACCTCTACAGGGAATATAGAGTTGACCATTGCGCGACAAAGCCACGAGTCCCGAACCCCAAGGGCAAGACATGTCATCATACTAGCGACGCCTGCGCTCGACAACTTGGCCCGGGCACTTCAGATTAGTCTGGAAGAAGACAGCGGGATACGTTCCGAAATCCAGTACTGTGTTCCGGAAGGCCCAGCACCGCCGCCCATGAGCGGCAACTACGGCGAGAACATCATCATTGTATCGATGTTGTACCTGCAGCAGCCATTGGAAGAGTCGGCACTGAGACCTGAATCCTTCCGCGGCTTCTTCGACATGCTCCTCGCGGCTCGAACGCCCATAGTTTGGCTCCTGCCACCTCTCCAGCTCGGAAGCACGTGTCTAACGGCACTATCGCCGTGCCGCCGTCCCGACGCTGCATGCCTGATCGGCCTTGCACGCACCGCTCGCAACGAGAATCCCTCGCTGAACATCACTACCGTCGAGCTGGACGCCGATTCAACGCCCCCCCCGAAAGCATCAGGAGCCATCTCCCGCATCGTCGGGAGGCTGCTTTTGGCTTGGTCGGGTCCAGGAGACGGGCCTGACATGGACCGCGAACTCGGCATCACGAACGATGGAACCGTCTTGATTCCTCGTATGACATGGTCGTCGCTCGAGGACGCTGAGGCAGCAGCCCCCACGCTTATCGGTAGCACAGAGTTGGGCAGAAACGACGTGTCCATGTTTCGGAACGAGGCAAGCTACTTAATCGTCGGAGGCCAAGGCGGCCTCGGGAAATCTCTCTGCCGCTGGATGGCCGCACGGGGAGCCCGCTGCCTGGTCCTCATGTCACCCTCAGCTGCCGCTGCACCGGATGCGGCCACGGTCTCCTTTGTCGATGATTTAAAACTCACCTTCGGTTGCGCTGTCGTCCGTGTGGGCGGCCGCGCAGAGCACCGCCCAGACGTCGAGCGCGCCGTTGCCGCCGCCGAACAAGCATCCCCGCGAGGTCTCGCCGGCATTTTCCATATGCCCATGGTACTCCGCGACCGGCCGATGAAGGACATGACCTGGGAAGACTGGACCACCGCCGTCGATCCCAAGGTGCGCGGCGCGTGGAACCTACACAATAGTATACAGGGCCGGCGGGAGGCAATGCTCGACTTCTTTGTTCTCTTCAGCTCCGTAAGCGGCATCGTTGGCCAACACGGCCAGGCCAATTACAACGCAGCTAATACTTTCCTTGATGCCTTCGTACTGTACCGCCGGGGCCTCGGGCTCCCGGCGAGCGTGCTTGACATTGGCATCGTCGGGGACGTTGGGGTTGTGGCTCGTGACGCGATGCTGGCGGATCAGTTCCGCAAAGCCGGCTACGTCTTTATAGGACAAGATACCGTTATGCGGGCCGTAGGCATTGCCATTAGTCCTTCGGCACCACACCAGCTTGTCGTAGGCATGTCTCGAGATCCTCAAGTGGACAATACCACACGGGCAGTCTTGTGGAAACGCGACCCGCGGATGGCTAAGGCATCCTCTGGCTCGGCTTTAAGCTCAGGATCGAGCAAGGCCGACGCAACTAGAAGAGAGACGCGTGAGATTGCCTCATGGGCTATTGAGGAGCCCGTTGGTCTGGTGACGGAAGAACGGCGGGTGCGTCTGGCGTCGTGCCTCGGCAGGGCTGTCTACGAGGTGCTGGCGAGGCCGTTGGAGCAGCCGCCACTGACGAGAAACATCAATTCGCTTGGTCTAGACTCCTTCGCTGCCGTCGAGCTAACGTCCTGGATCCAGCAGCATTTTCATATACAGGTCTCGACCATGGAGTCCAACACTGACATCAGCTTTCTGATGCTGGCTGATCTCGTCATGGATAGGATGGTGGAGCAACACAGGCAGGCGACCCAGCCTAACACCAAACGTTCCCTAGCCTAAAGGCAGCTATAATAACCCAAGACTAGACTAAAGAGTCCTGATATAGTCTTTATATCTATATCTTAGGTTTTCCCTATACTCTCTAAATTATAGATGTGTATAAATCCTTAGCTTAGTGGAATAATAACCTATCTCCTTTAGGTAATTTACATTTAGTCTTTACTAACGTTATGGAATCTCTCCTTTAATTGACAGGCTGCAAATCGCCCCAAGTCCTTGAAGCTTAGAGCACCTGTTAACTGCGAAATGTTAACGTCAACCCTAAAGGCGGCCCGCCACCAGTTGCGTATCTCTATAGTCATAAGTGAGTCTATAGCAAAGGAAGACAACGACACAGAGAGCGTAGCATCAATCTTGCTATCGTCCTTGTCCTTGTCTTTGTCTATTAGCATTAACAAAGCAAGCACGTGCCTAGCAACTTCGCGACCAAGAAAGATCGCGCTTTCAGGACTATCCAGCTTAGATGGTTTGTCCTTGGCGTCGCATACGAACTGGCTGAGAAGGGCCGACGCGCTCCCGTCCTGCGCCAAGTCGCTGTTGGCGTCGTGTTCGCCATGGCTATATGAGGCCATGCGCGGGTCACGCTTCCACACTACCGAGTTCTGAGGATCGTCAAGCGGCATCGTGCAGAGGAAACCTATGCCCACCTGGGCTGGACAGCAGAATGAAGTATCGTCAACACTCGACGGACTCTCGCCAGCGTCTCTACAAGACGTAACGATTGCCAGGTGGAGGCCGTCCAGTACTTCTTGCTCGGTGAGGAACCAAACTCCAGCGCGGCTCACAGCGTTAAAGAGCTCACGCTTACGGGCCAGGGTGCCAACGTCTTCCACGGGACCGATGTCGGGGACGGAACATGGCATCCCCTGCCCGCGGCGGTACTGCGCGAAGCTGTCGAGAAAGGTGTTTGCTGCCGCGTAGTTGGCCTGGCCCGCGCGCCCAGTCACGCCAAACATGCCGCTCATCAAGACAAAGAAGTCTTCGTCGCTATCGCCTTCGGCCAAGGGGCGGTGCAGGTTCCATGTGCCCGTCACCTTGGGCGCCACCGCTGCCTTCCAGTCGTCCGCAGTCATCCGCAACAGCTCCACGTCGGCGAGGACCATGGCAAGATGAATGACGCCCCTGGTCCTGTAGAGACGCGAAAGGCCTGATAACGCTCCCCGCACAGCATCCTCGTCCGCGACGTCGCAGGTCCGTACGTGGACTTTGCAACCCATGCCACGTAGCTCGGCGACAACGGAGGCGTCGTGGGCGGTTGAGCCGGCTGACCAGGAGAGAATGGCGAGGTTCCGCGCGCCATGGCCGGCTAGCCACCGAATGATGGAGGTATCGAGGCCGCTGATACCGCCCGCGATGACGTAGATGCACTCGGGACCGAACGCCGGTGGCTCCGGCTGCTTGTTCGGGACTGGAATTAGGGAGTTGGGGTCGATGTGCGTGCCGACGAAGTCGACAACCATCTTGCCGATATGCGTTCCCTTGGCAAGGCATTGAAGTGCTTCGCCTATCTCTGTGCATGGGAACGAGCGCGAGCGCGCAACAGGCGTCAGCACCCCCTCCTGGTAAAGGCGGACGATGCGATCCAACAGGAGGCCGAACTCTTCGCCGTCAACCACGGCCAGCTGCGCCATGTCGATGCCAACAAAGGACCGGTTCCCGTCTAGGGCCTCCATGGGAAGCCTGCAGCGCGCGCCGACGTCCCGCTTGCCGAGCTCGACAAACGTCCCGCCGGGCGCCACGCATCGCCAGGAGGCGTGTAGGAGCTCGCCCGACAGCGATTTGAGCACTATATCGACGCCCCGCCCGCCCGTGGCCTCCATCAGGTTGTCGGCGAAGGACTCGTCCCTTGAGCTGAAGACGCGGCCCGGGTCGATGCCCTCCCTGTCCCGTAGAAACCTCCCCTTGGCTTCGGTCCCGACGGTGGCATACACCTCTGCGCCAAGCCACCGCGCGACCTGTAAGGCAGCCAACCCTGTACCGCCCGCTGCGCTGTGGACTAAAACCGTCTTCGGAGGACCGAGCCCCGCCTTGTCGACAAGCGCGCGCAGCACGGTGGCAAAGATGCAGGGCATCCCTGCGGCGTCTGGAAATGACAGATCGTCCGGGATACGCGCGCAGAGAGCTTCGGGGACGCGGACCGAGGTCGAGTAACAGCCGGCCTTGGGCGCGAAGAGCATGACGCGGTCGCCGACCCGCACGCGCGATACAGCGTCGCCGACGGCCGTCACGAGTCCCGCAGCTTCGCAGCCGAGCGACACGGGCCTGAAGGAGTCTAGTACGTTAGACACGTTGAGGGCCGTGAGGACGTCCTTGAAGTTGAGGCCGGCGGCGTGGATAAGGATCTCCACGGCGGTGTGATCAATGCCCAACGGATGCGTCTTGAGAGCGTAGGACAGGGTCCGGAGATGCCCAGGGCGTGACATCTGGAGGGCCTTGTATGACCGGCACATACCAGCGGAATACTGCTTGGGCCGGGAGTAGTGGGAAAGGGCCTGTGGCACCGATATCCAGGTGCTCCGCGGTATGAGGATCGAGCCCGTGTCGGCGCGGTAGACGAACTCCATGTCCCTGTCCACGGGGTTGTCCACATCAGCGGGGCAGCTCAACTGCTGCGCCATGACTTGACACACGGCATTCATCGCCGTTGAGTCTCCCGTCTTGTCGAGCTCCAGGACTGCGAACCGCACCCCGAGTTCCTGGCGTGCTGTGCGCGCTATGCCGAGGACGAGCGCATAACCGGGGTCCGTCGGGCACACCTGGCAGGGCCTCGTAAACCAGACAACCGAGTTATCCGTCTTCTTGAGCATATCAAGGAGACGGTTGAGCCCGTCAATCTTGTGCTGGGACATGGCAGTGAAGAATCCCGTGGGAGAGAAGGCGTCGAGGAGTGAGATGACGGGGCCTTGGGGGAGGGGATCGCCGAATTTGACGGGCAAAGTCTCGTATACCCTGAGCCGGAGTAAAATGTCTCTGACATACAACATTCTCGTCGTTCAAGGGCTTCCTTGGTCGTGGAGGACGATGATTCGAGTCCGAGTTGCGGGGGAACTGAGCGTCTTCGTCGTCGTCATCCTAGGGCTAGAGGGTCAGGAAGCAGCAGCAGCAACAGGTCTCGCGAGAATTGTAGCATTCAGTTGATAAGGCGGCTCCGCGTCCAGAAATACAGATGCGAAGCCGGCGCAACGGAGACGTCGGCCCCATGCTTTTGGCGAAATGTACTGTTCTTGCTTGCGGCCGTCGCTGTCACCCAGCCACCATCCCAGAAGAAGACCCTGCAGGTAAGTTATTTCTAAGTCAGCTTATGTTATATGGTCCATGATGCTGGTGGGTAAGGGGAGCAGTTGAATCGTGGGCAGTTGTTGGATTTTACCATGATCAAATTGATCCATTTCATTTCGCATGCCAGGTCCTGAATAAGGACTCGTCCCTCTGGCTTGAGAAGACTGCGGACATGGCCCAGCGTCTTCGTTATGTCTTCAGTGACATGAAGCACCTGTTGACTGAGTCAGCCCGCTCTATGCCATGCCTCGTGGAAAAGGATATCTTCATAGGCTCTACTCTAGTAAAAAAAGATAAAGTCTTTTAAAAAAGAGGTACTTATTATAAGATAATAGGTAGTAAGTGCTTATAAATAATAAATAAATAAGTAGTAAGGATTGAATACTTAGTGTATATATAATATATTATATATACTATAAGTATATATCTTTTTAATAAGAGACCTTTTATAAAGAGAGGGTTAACCTTCAATACACCTATTATTTATTACTTATTTTGTTTTATGTTATTTATTTAGCTTTTTATTATTATTTATCTTACTTTACTACTTTACCATTACGCTTTGCCTTTATATTACATTACTTTATATTACTATTATAGCCTAGCTTTATCTTATTAGATTTATAATAGCTGCTAGAAAGGCTGTGTTAGGGGGGCTATAAGTAGGTGCTTTAACTTATACTAAAACCTTTTATGTATTATAGGAAATTATATAAGATCTACTATAGAGAAGCATATTATGCTAATATATAGTGCTATTAACTAGCGTGAAGCTGATTGCGACTGTAAGTATGAAAAGTATTTAAATTTGAGGCTAGAATCAAACACCAAGATCAGCAATACGTCAAGGAATCTAGGCAAGCTCAGGCACTATTACTCTCGGCACGATCGAATTCCCCGCCAAGTTTTATTGCTAGTGTGGGCCCAGGCCGGCCTTCTTATCTTATTGGCCACTTGGGTCATCCGGTTGACTTTTCAGGTCGCGACATATCGCAACTCCGATGTTCAACTTGGCGTGGACTCTAGCGGTTTCGTGCCTTAAGGTATTTTTGCGTTTGGAAAATCTTCAATACCATTTGGTACTGATGTAGGCATCAGATGTCGGACAACCGGTGAAGTGGGTGAAATACGATGACAAGTCAGATCCTCATCACTTTCCACTGGACTCATTCAAGAGTCTCGACAGGGTACAGGAGATAGCGAGACGATTCAAAATGCTATATAATGGTATACACGAATTCTACAACCAGGATGTTCTTATAGTCTGTCACTAATCGACCACATAGCTTCCAGCGTCTGAATTAATGGAAACGAAACAACTTATGTAGACTTTAATGGTGAAAGACAACCTATGCCTCTATATGTCACTGCAAGAGGCTCTCGTCTGTACAGCATTCGAGCTTTCCACCAGATGCACTGCACAGTGAGTGGGGCTGAGATCATGACATGACGTCTTAGACCTTTACTAACAGTAATGAAGTCGATAATCTTTGAGGATATTGGCTACAGAGTTCACAGTCAAACCTCAAAATGGGCCTCTGATCATGTAGTTCATTGTCTTAACACCGTCAGGGCAGCTGTTACTTGTCTCGCTGGTAATTTTCATTCTGTTTTTGTATACAAACTGATAGCTGTTGTGCTTGTAATAAACCAGATTCGACGCCAATATCATATGTTCATGGCATGGGTAAAGGACACACGACAGACGATCAACAAAATCATTGTCGAGACTTTTACGCACTAAGAGAATGGGCCCATGATCCGGTTCGAAAGGTTACATGGCAAAACATTGCCTCCGAAGGTCAAACAGATGTTTACAATGAGATGGTATCAGATTAATCAATTTAGTAGAGAAAAGAGCAGTAGTCAACAATTAGATAAGTGGATTTAAACCTTAGAGATTATAACTCACAGGCGCTTAGAGAGACTTAGTCCAAAAAGGGACTATAAGTTATAGAAAACGTATCTTACTTACGTATATATTAAGCTCCTTGTCTATACGTAAGGTATAAGGACGTATTATTATTTCTACAGAACCTATAACATAGAAAGAGACCGGAATTTCCATCCAAGTAACAGGGCTTTGCATGTGGATAGTATAATTTTGAATAAGGATTTTTGATCATTTGTCTTTGGTGTAACTATCCTAGGCCGCTATAACGCGTTTGGTGCAGGCTGCTTAGTATACGTCATGATAAACAAGCATACAACACGTAGCACATTCGACCTACACTGCATTTTATTTTAATCACTGTGATGAACAGCAGCGTCTGGTCACTTGAGAGTAAAGTAGTTGTCCTATCAAGAATCTATGTATGAACCAGAGAAGTGGTAGTAATACCCTTCTCGTACGCCATATCTGTGGCGGCTTCCACTGGTACTAGCCACACGAAGCTATCCCAGCTTCACGACAATCTCTTAGTACGTCACGAAATGCCTAATGATAACGGGCTGTGATTGTTCATTTACGCTTCGCTCAACTTTGGTGCGAATGACCTTGATAACAACGCCTACTTTAGAGGCTGTGATAGTTCTTTCTAACCTGCCGCGAAGGTTGGGCAGCTCCGTGGCCTACCAAGCCACAAACTTCATAAAGGCTGTTTGTCAGAGGCCTATAGGAGGTTTGTATGACCTTGCCCCTGGCTTGTTTTCCAACAAATTCTACCATTTCCCCACTGATGTTAATAATCAGGCCAAAAGTAAATCTGTTTCAAAAAGTAAAGTTTATAGCTCGGGCCGGATACTTTTTGCGGGGAACCTATCCGCACTCTCATATTATGATATTAACGCGCCCCATCAGCTCTGCGATATCGGGTCGAGAGCTTCGACGCTTGACCTTGACATCGCGCCGCTCTGGACCCTCTCCTCTCTACATGGCTTCTAATAAGAACGATGCCTCATACGGCGTTCAGGGACTTAGGACCCTGCTTTCCCAGGCGCTGCACGTTCCAGAGGACTTGATTCACGATGGTGACTCTTTCGTCAGTCTTGGGGGTACGTGAGCATCTCTCCTGATGGCCTTCCTACACGTGAATCTTACGAGACTATCCCAGGCGACTCCTTCAAAGCCGTAAGGCTGTATCAGAAATGCACCAGTTTAGGCATGGATGTAGGGATCCAGGACATTCTCAAACGGCCGTTGGGAGAGATAATTGCTCATGCGGATCGATCCGGATGTAAACCAAGCCAATATGTTCACAGTGAGACAGACAGGTTTTCGCTAATGCCGCCTGAGTACGACTTTGGCAGAGCTTACAAGCATATCCAAGAGAATTTTGATCTGGCGCCGGATGCCATCGAAGACGTCTACCCGTGCAGCCCAATGCAGGAGAGCATGTACATCAGCCAAAAGCTGAGCTTGGCGCCCCTCTACCGGACTCGAGGTCTCTTTTTGGCAGACCAAGGACTTGACCTGCGCGAGTTGGAAAGGGCATGGAGCGACGTCGTCCAAAGACACCAGTCGCTCCGGACAGTATTTGTAGAAACTTCGGACCCAACCTCGGGTCGAGTCCTGGATGCGGTGATATTGGAGAAATATCCATCCACCGTGACAGTGACGACCGACGCCGGCCATGTCCATGAGATTGTCGAGAAATTCCATAACAAGTCCTGTAAGGCGCCTTCGGACCGCACTGAACCAAACGAATGTCGCCATAAAGTCACCGTTTACATCTCCGGCGGCCAGACACTCGTCGAGTTCGATCTGAGTCATTTGGCAATAGACGGGGGCTCCTTAACGATACTCGTCAATGATCTGACCAGAGCGCTCATCGGCCATAAAGTCGACAAGCCAGCCCCAAGCTACCGGAGGTACATTGATTATCTCCAGAACCAGGCTAATGAGGATGCTGCGCTTGACTACTGGATGGAGTACTTGGACGGTGCTGAGCCATGCTGCTTCCCGGCCATGAACGACAACAGCGCCGGAGACGACGGCTCGTCCCAGGTGATAGAAATCATGCCTGCCGTCCACGATAAGACACTGGAGCTCATTCAGGCTTTCTGCCGCAGCGCCAACACAACCGTGTTCGGCGCGTTACAGGCGGTATGGGCCCTCGTTCTCCACGCGTACACGGGAGACGACGACGTGTGCTTTGGGTACCTCTCGTCCGGACGGGACCTTCCCATCGCCGATGCTTCCGACATTGTCGGACCGATGATGAGCCTCCTCGTGTGTCGGGTGCGAGACGTGGCAGACAGGACCATCGGTGACCTCATCGACGCCGTCAGGAGTGACTTTATCAATGCGATGCCGCATCAGTGCTTCTCTCTAGGCAAAGTGCGACGGATCCTGGGCATGAACGAGACGTCGAGGCTGTTCAACACGATCGTAACGGCCTACCACACCTCGTCAACCCCGGTTGCAGGGGCCGACGGTGAGGTTCTCAAAATGATCGCAAGAAGCAACACCTCTGAATTTGACCTCGTGCTCAAAATTGTCTCCTCGGATTGCGAGCTGAGCATGCGGCTCGCCTACGCCACCGCCACCCTGTCCCGAGCTATGGCCGAGAGGGTATCTCAGACCTTCTCCGCCTTCCTTGAAAGGCTTGTTCGAGTCAGCGGCACTGCGGGCTGCCATATAAGTCGCATTATTGGAATCAGTCCTTGTGACGCGTCTCAGATCTTTGCCTTGAACTCTATCACCAGCGGTCTGCGTAGCGAGGCGGTGTGTGTCCACGAGCTCATCGAGCGGCAGGCCCGCCGG